TAAACGACAATGAAGTTCTATCCATGTAAGAATTGCATCAATTTAATAATATCGAAAAAAATCTCTAATTAAAAAAAAAAATGTTACAGTTTTTAAAAATAAAAATGTTAAAAATGTTACAGTTTTTTAAAAAAAAAATGTTCAAGATAAAATCACTCAACTTCTGTAAAGCGATTATTATCGCAATATTTGGCACTATCTTACTGGCTTATTTAATCATTCTCTCAATTGGTGTACATAATGACTTGTCAACAGTTACCAATGGATATTCTGAAATGGCTGAATTTCCTGCCCCGATAGTGGGGTTTCAGCTTAAGAACAACTTTACAATAACGTGCTATTTCCAGATTTTTGATTATTATGGTAAGACCATATATTATCATATTCATGCTACCCTTTACTGTATATTTATTTCACTCAATAATCCATTTAATAGATGATCATAGCAACTGTTCGGAGTACTTAACTTAACCCACATTTAATGAAGAAAGCGGTCAATAGACCGAAAAATTTTCGCCGATAAATAATTTGGCGTTTCCCAGGAATGAAACGCCTTATTAGCTAAAAAGGATCCTTTTTAAATTTAACGTCCCTAACGACGTTTATATATATGGTGACATTCCTGCGTTTACAATCAAAATGTTTGACTCAACAAATCAAACATTGGCTCAGGACATGTACAAGGCGCTAGTTAATGACAAATATTATTTCGATTCATCGCCTCTTTCTGCGTCAATCTACCGGACAAACAGATATTTTCTGGGGAGAAATTATGTAAGTAATAACGATGATATATGGGTGATGGTCCATTGATCGTTATAAAGTTATTTAAATATAATGAAAATTATATATCTATATTTTAGATCTACCATGTCTGAATGTCAAGGAAAACCACCAGAACGATTATAGAATCCACCAAAGACGATTTCGGATTTCCTCCAACACGCAAAATGCTGACATATATTACAGCATTTGCTTGTAAGTTAAATAAATTAAGTAAAAAAGTCTATTATTGATAAGATATATCGTTGATAATTAATGTTTTTTTTTAGATTTAACCACGAGAAACGCCTCATGGTATGCGGATGCTGCATCAGGTTTCATGCTCGACCCGAGTAGCTTCTTACTTGAAGATCAAACTGAGCAACGGAATAAGAATGTAAGTAAATTTATTAATTAAAGAACAACATTTGTAATTATCTGACCAGACCAACCAAATTGGTTGTTTTTGCCGATCAGCCGCCTCGAGCAGGTTTTTTATTAATACAGTAGTATTTACTATTTTATTATTTAGGCATTGTCCGTTATCTCTAACGTTCTGGCTATTGGAGGAGCACTATTAACATTTTACGCCTTTCTATTTGGTAATTATATACTAATACATTATTGCAGAAAAGACATTTACTCTTTATAACACATTAATTATTTTTAGGCGTTAGCTCTATCAAGCCATGGGGAATTATGCATAAATATGTTTTTAACGGGACAACAAAGAAAACTTTTAATGATAGGTTGACACTGGATTCTACATCATTAAATCTTAAATATGACAATTTAGAACTGAATGGTTTAAAAGAATTCCTTAAACATTATGTCGTCAATATTAGTTTGTTAGAAGAAGACAACGAAAAATCATTAGAAGAAGACGATGAAAGTAAATGATAAGAAGTTTACCATTATTATTACTAAAACTTAATTCTGAAATTTTATATAAAGGTTTTCCTGAATGGATGGAGACTAGATAGAGATGATTCATTTAAAAATTTGATCAGTAAGAACCTATGTAAAGTGATGTAATTTATAAATAATAACTAGTTGCCTTAGTTCTTGACAGGGTGTCCTAAACTGTTATATGTGAGGCAATAACTTGAAATTAGAATAACTAAACATTTATTGTTATAAATAATATTAATAAATAACTATACATTGTAATAAGAAATGTCGATATTATATTTATTTCACTAATATTCTATTATAACTTGTTTCATAAGTGCAGTCAAAGTTAAAAAGTCCCATGTTTTAGCATGACTAATTGTAACATATGCTTGTTCAGGACTTCAGGTGCGAATAGTGAATCTAATGATACTGTAGCAAGCATATGGTTGAGTTTTATGTACCTGTTATGATGTTGATTTTTAGTTTTATTTCTAACAAAGAAAAGAAGATCTCGCAACGGTCAGTTATGGTCAGTTATAATCGGTTATAGCAATTTAAATGGTCAGTTATGATTGGTTAAAAATTGGTTAAAAATTGGTTAAACGGTCAGTTAAACGGTCGGTTAAACGGTTATGATCATAACCGTTGCCATCCCTAATTTCAAATGATTATACTTTTGGTAAAAAAAAAATCTTAGATTATTATTTATTTATTAAATTTATTAATACTCTATTGTATTTTTTAATAAATCATTCAAAAAAATCATTTATTTTAGTTTAACTTTGAAATAAAAAGTTATTATTGACAAAAAAAAAAAAAATCTTTATTAATATTAATTTTGCAAAAAAAATCCGTCATATTTAATAAAAAGTATCTGTTCTATTGTACTCTTATTAATTATTAAAGACATTTCTTTTCATAAGGTAGATCATTTTTTTTATTTTAATTTCGATAAAAAAAAGATTAATTTAGCCAATCATCAGTCTTATATTAATAATTACGATTTAAATGTGGCAAAAAATTTTATAGTTAATGCTTTCTTTTTAAACAGCGAATATATTTTTTAATATTTAAATAAATTATAAAAGAATTTAAAAAAATTTCTATATTTGTTTGCAAAAAAAATTAAAAAAAATTTTTTTTATTAACAAAAAAAAAATGAAAAATTTTGATCGTTGTAAGTCACATGATTAAAGTAATTATATATAGGGATGGCAACGGTGATAACGAAGATTATGGCGCAGTAAAAATCACGTGATTCAAAAATCAGATGATTAATTAGTAGATCAATCATTATGTAATCAAATAATTTTGTAGATCTGATTAACGTTACAATTGTTATTTTTGTTATTTATATTATTTATGTTATTTTTATTATTTTTATTATTTCTTTTATTTATTACATTTATTTTATTTACTTTATTTATTTTAGTTATATTATTTTATTTATATTTTATTTTTATATAAATATCTTTTGATTTTTCTTAAATTAAAGTGTATGTCAGTGTGTCAGATAGATAGAAAATAGATAGTATAAGTTAGGGATTAACTTGTATTAACTATTTAATAAACTCTTATATTAAAAAAGAACTGTGATTGTGTTATATTTTGCGTATTGTGTTTTTGCGTGACTTGCTGATATAAACTACGTTATAGCTATTGACTCCCTAACGTTTAGTTATAGTTGACAGAGTCTGAGACGGACCTGTTAACAAAGTGGTGATTCCTGCCAGGTCATAAGAGATTTATGACCATACAAGATCATTTCGAACAACAATTACAATTAACTACTCGCCATACTGATCAACATCTTTCAAATATAAATCCACCTACTACTGTAGATCATTCTTGTCGTATCTGTTATCCTACACCTCTTGTTTTACCAACTGCCTTTCAAAATTTCTGGAATTGGATTAGTAACTACTTCTTTGCAGTTAGTTATACCTCCTACACTATAAGGGCTTTACCTATCTTCTGTCAAGCATTTCAATTAGATAACAATAGAATCAAAGGACTCCAAGTTTTAATCCTATCTAGTAAACTACTTTTTAGTATTAGATACCAGCAAAGACCTGATCCTATCAGAAATCTAGTATTTTTCTTCTTCAATCTTACTCATAGAACAAGCTATTTTAATAATCCTGTTACACCTCAATTAGTTGCTCAACTTAACACTGATATCCAAACTGAAAGAAATAATAACCCTAATAATCTCATAGATAACCCTCCTGTTTATAATCAAAATATGGCTGAAGAAGCTGCTATCACCAATGCTTTGCAAACTGTTTTTGGTAATAATGCTGCCAATCTTTTAAGCAAAGGAAGTAATATTGCAAAAATTGAACCCTTTTCTGGAAAAGAAGATGAAGATCCTATCGAATGGTTAGCTATTTTTGAAAAGGCTGCTGCTACTAATGGTTGGACTACTCCTGAGAGAAAACTAGCAGTTGCAACTTCTTATTTAAGAGGTGCTGCATCTGATTGATATGATACTAATTCTGCTACAATAGGTAACCACTGGGAATCTGGACAAAACACTGGCAATAATTTTACAGACCTTTTTAAAAAATATTTTGCAAATGATACTCGCAAAAATAAATGGTATCAGGAATTACTCACCTTAAGACAAGGTAGTAATGAAACAGTAGATGATTATGCCGCTAAATTCCAAAGGTTATTAAAGAGAGTCGATACTACCAATGCTATTCCTGATGCTCAGAAAATTAGAATGTTCCTTTTTGGATTAACTCCTACTATCACTCCTATGGTACATTTACAAGATGCTAATACTTTATCTGATGTCATTGGTAATGCAAGAAAAGTTGAAACCGGATTAAATTACGCACATTTAGGACCAAGTGTTACTGGAATTGCTACTAAAGTAGCTACTGTATCAACCACACCTGCAAAAACTGAAAGTACTCAAATGGAAGCAATTGAAGCATTAACTCAACAAATGCAGAAACTTTCACTTAACTATGCAAATTTATCTAGTGCTTTATTAGCTCAAACTCAACCCATTCAACCACAACCTGTTAGAAGAATCCAACCTGCGAGATATACTCAACCAAATAATTTAACCCAAACTTTCAGACCTAATAGACCCAGAACTGATATAAGAGATATCGAATGCTACAGATGTGGAGAAAAAGGACATTACGCTAGAGATTGTATGT